ATCACCAATTAACCTCAACATGTTTTTGGACTGTGTGGGAGGAAGCCAGAGAACCCGGAGAGAACCCACGCTGCACGGGGAGAACATGCAAACTCCATGTAGAAAGATTCTGGGACGCGAACCGGCAACCTTCTTGCTGCGAGGCAACAGTGCTACCAACTGCGCCACCCTGCAGCCCCTGTAATAAGTCAGTGCTGCCTCATTTTACAGAAATTTCCTGTCATTTCCTGACCTCTTGGTAAACAAAAATGTGTATTATGTTATGTACATTAAACTCCAACTAACAAAACTAGTTTAAAACATGTATTTTATTCAGGATTGCTATTGTTTTGATGCTGATGATGATCTTGTTCTCTGGCTAAAACCCCTTTGGAGGACAGCAAAAAAGAAAAACACAGCCATTATTACAAACTGACACCAAACACTGCAGCAAATGAACCAGGACTGAAGTTCTGACTTCACATGTTTACTACAGAGCAGACAGTGCAGAGATGAGAGTTAAAGTTGGAGGAAGAAGGAGAGAAAATTCCTTTGCCACACTTGAGTCAGGAACATTGTGGTTAGCGCCTTTATTCTCCAGGCTGCCTCTGCGCTCCAGTTTGGGAAACATATAGTTAACAGCTAAGTCATAGGAAAAACACCCACTCATGGTGTCAGCTTAATTGGATTTTTTGGACGACAGCTGGATATAGTTGGATTTGGGGAAACGCTTACTTTACAACTAATTAAATTTTGTAATTACAAAGGCAACACCGACTTTACGACCGGCAGGATTTGAGGGAACTCTCGCGCTCGATTGGTCACCTGCAAAGTCGGTGCTTTCAATTCCCAAACCTGTCGTAAACACAAAACGTAGCTACTGAAACCAAACCTAATGTAGAGTTGGACCCTCAGTGAGTCTCCCTCTCTCTCTCTCTCTCAGCTGCACTGTACATGCTTGCAGTCACTCGGGTGATTTCATGGCTCTTAACCAAACACAAAGGCTCCATTATGGCTCCGCTCGCTGAAATAAACTCACTTTCTCCCTCCTATTCCTTCTCTCGCCGTTCCTCTTCTTCTTCTATCTCCTCCCACTCTTCCTCCTCCTCTTCACATTCACACTTTCACCCACATCTCCGGGATCAAATGTAAAGCCACATTTTCCGTTTCATTACCTCATCCTGATTTTGGGAGTCGGGAAAGAAAGAAAGAAAGAAGAAGGAAAAACAACAAAAAAAAAGAAAAAGAGAAAGGAAGGACGACAAGACGTGGAGGTGGGAAAAGTGCGACGTGTGTTGTAATAATTAGCCCATTAATTAGGTCTTGTCCCCAGCCCTCCTCCCACCTTCTCGTCCTTTGAAGTCCCCTCCTCCAGACTACCCTGGATGCACTTGGGAGGCATCCAGGAGGGGGCAGCGGAATGGGGGATGTGGGGAATGTGGGTCAAAATGTGTGTGTGTGTCAGAGAATTTCTGGAGATGCTGATGATGAAAAAGAGAGAAAGCGAGGGGAGCTCGGTTCTCCCTCAGTGTCTCTCTATCCCTGGCAGATTGCTTGTGCTGCTTTTTATGTTGAAATCCCCCCACACACACACATCATTCATACATGCCAGATGCTGTACTTTCAACACACACACAAACAGATTCACACTCACACACACGTCACATGAGTCTCTTTGTTTTGGTTTGCTGCAGAGATAAAACCCGGCTCTGTTACACTTCTCTGTATGGGAGACAAAGAGCGCTTATCTCACATACTGTGTGTGTGAGTGTCTACGAGGGAGAGATTGTGTTTGTGTCAGAGTGTTTTCCAATGCACTCATTTTATTTATGCATTGTGATTTTTACGAGCTGGAGTTTCGGCCTCGTTAGGTGGATTTTCCTTTCTTTTTTTCCCCCCCTCCATTTTACTGGACTGTCTGATTGCTTTTTGTGAGCGTGACTGTGTGTATATATGTGTGTGTGTGTGTGTCTGTGGCGTCATCAGATCTGCATGCCGATATGGCCACCAGGGCCAGCGTGACACACTTCCTCTTTAAAAGTGGGCTAATCACACACAGGTTAACGGACTGGGAGGGTGAAAAATGATTTTAAAAAATGGAAAAAGTAGTAAATGAAAGGAACTGCCAAAGCAAAAATGCTTAAAAGTTCATTCCTTTGGTTCTAGTTTTGATATAGTGGTCATTTCTGAAGGTTTTCAGTGTGTGTTGATGCTCATGTTAGTTGGTCAACATTGTTAATTTTTCATTTGTCTTTGTGCTCTCTTGCTTGGTGTATTTCCCCGCTTTTTTATTACCAGGTGTGGAACGAGTAAAAGAGGAAATTTGCTGACTCACGTAGACGTTCTGGTATTCGTGTGCTCTGACAATATGCTGATAAGAGACAGAAGAAAGTCTTCCAATATTTTGCTGTGACAGTTATACCAAGGGGGCTGTTTTTATTATTATTCCTGGTTGTATCTGGTCACTGTCAGTGTTGCAAACCCAGGAACAAAGGTGAGGATCCCAAACATGATGCATTTTCTTTTTTTATACTTTTTTTTTTTGCCGTTTTTGCCTTTATTAGATATAGACAGTGGACAGAGAACAGGAAATGTGGGCAAGACATGCAGAATACTGACATGCAACAGAGGTCCAGGCTGGATGGGATGGCTTTGCACCCATGAGGTATCAGGTCCATCCATCCATCCATTATCTATACACTCCTTTATCCTCTGTAGGGTCGTGGGGGGCTGCAGCCTATCCCAGCTGACTAAGGGTGAAGCGACACCCCGGACAGGTCGCCACTCTAAAACAGAACCACACAAAGAGAGACAGACAAGCACACTCACATTCACAATTTAGAATCACCAATTAACCTCAGCATGGTTTCGGACTGTGGGAGGGAACTGGTACATTCTAAGTTGGTACTACTCATTCGCATTAAATTATTTCGTGCTAGCTCTAGTACCTGAGAGCACATCTGAGTAACAAAGCAGAGTGTGTGCACTCGTCTGTGAACAGCCTTTTCTCTCTTTATGCTTTGGGGGTAAAACATGCACAGGATGAATCATTATTGTTGGCTTTTCTTTGCAGAATAGAATCAAACTGAATCTGAACAAATTTGTCTAAAAGTGCTGCATTCAAAGTAACTCTAGTGTTTTTAATGCACATCTTTCAGAAAACCAACTCTTGCATTAGTTATTAGCAAGCCTGTAAGGAGCCTAGTGTTAGGTTTTCAGATCTGTGGAGCTTCACCATGACAGAGATACCTCTGGTTTTAGGCTAAGTGTCTTTACTGTAGTCTGGCTCATAGCTGCTAAGTAGATTTTGCTGTCTGGACCAACTGTGCAGTAATGCGGGACAGTACGTAACATTTGGATTGCTGTTCTACTAAAATTTTGGCCTGTTTAGACACACTGACTTGATCGCCTCCCACAGCTCTTCACAGCGTCTGCGCCACTAACTTCTCACAACCTTTCAACAAAGACAGTCGCTCACCTCCCACAACAAGAGCCCACTGGACCTACATCACACCCAGAGGACAAAGTCACAAAGTGTTTGGCAATAGAAATATTTGCAGTTGAGCACTTGAAATGGTATTTTTTTTCATAATTAATATAAGAACGTGTGGGTGCTTTGTTCAAAAAAAGTAAAAAATGTTGAAACAGCAGCTTAATTTTTACAACAAAATTACATTTTTATTATTACAGAGTGAGTGAAATATTAAAAAAAGATATCGTGCAACTGTACCGGATGAGGTTGAAATGTGAACAGTACCCAACTCTACAGGGAACAGGACTGCATAATGTCAGCATTGGCCTTTTGTTCTAATCTGACAAAAAACCTGTGATGTATTTCTATAAAACTGCCAGATTCATGATGAAGAACAGCTCAACTGATGCAGCAGACGTGAGAAATTGCCTTCCTGGTCACCCCGGCATCTACTTTACCCACAAGGAGGCAGTCAGGTCGGACATTCGGTCAAGCTTTGCCACTGGCGGCTAAAGTAGCCCCTCCTGGTAGCCTGTTGGGCTTTAATTAGACTGACTGCAGTCTGCTTAGAGGAAATTCAGGTCATATAACCACACACACAAACCATCAAATGTAGAATGCAGGATCTGACCAGCGGGCCGTGGTTGTGTGTTGGTGTGATCTTGTGCTCACATGATGACACTGATGAAGTGACTCTCGGCATGCAGTGTCATGAATGACAAACTGCCGAAGGGATGTGTGTGAGCAGACAGGCAGATGGTGTCTCACGAGTGCACGGGGAGCGAACAACCTTGAGAGAGACCGAAAGAGAAGGAAACCGATGGTGGCGGCAGAGGTCAGCTTGTTTTGCATGGAGGGTCAGGCGGGATGGGCGGGGCGTTTCTGCTGCTGCTTCCTCACTGCATTTCCTCTGCCCGGCCAGCATGTCCCTTCCTCATGCACACACACATACACTGTGTTTGTACACACACACACACATGCACGCACACACACGGGGCGTTAACATAGCAACACAATGAACAGGGACTGGCTTGAGGCAGATTGAGCAAGGTGTTTCCTGTGACCTGAGCGACTGCTGCGTCAACACAAACATGCTCGTCTGGGACAACACTGGCGTGTGTTTGCAGACATGTGTAGGTGTGTGTGTGTCTGCAAACTGATTTGACTCTCTTCTCCTTCAATTAGACCTTATTAATGTCTCCCTGTTTAAAAGTGTGAATGTGTATGTAAGTGAAAACAGCTGTGTTCAAGTCTGCGATATTCATCCTTTATTCATGCTTTGTTCATGGTTTATTCATGTCCTGTTCAAGCATTTGCAGAGTGAATGAATATTGGATTAAAAGCATCTTTACGTTATTCATGAGCCGAGTTATTTTGGACTCCACCAGTGCTCTTGTAATCTCCCATGCTGTGTGTGCAGGCACACACGCGCACAAAGGCAACAACAACAATAACAAAAACAGTCGTCTGAATGTCTTATACGTTTGTGTACTTGTGTATTGGACCATTACTGCTGAAATAAAGTTGACTGTGCCTCTGTGTCCCACAGGCCCCGTGCTGCCCTGCTATGGAGAAGATGAAGAGGATTAAGAAGCGTCTGTCTTTAACACTGCGCCCCAGCCAGACCATCGACGAGTCTCTGTCTGAACTGGCTGAGCAGATGACCATCGAAGACGGCGGCACCAAGGACAACGGTGAGGCTTCAACATGCTCTCTGGACGAAATCAAATTTTAAAAATACAGTTTTTTGTAAAAAGGATTCTGGTGTCTAACCAGCGCCTCATTGGCATTTGAAAATAGATCATTTCTGAACTGTGCTTGTAGCAACAGCATCTTGTTTACTGTTGGCTATGATCATTCCAGAAACACCTTATTAAACAACTTTATGTAATAAATAAATAGGAAATATCTGGTTACTGGTTTGTTGCAGTTGGAGTTACATATTTCAAGAAAGTTGGTTGAAAAGCCCCATAAAAGTGCTGCAGTTAAGTAAAAAAAATAATAGTATGATTGTCAAAAAGGCCCAATACGTGAGTGGCAATTAATAGAAGGAAATATGGCAAAAATTTGAGTTACATCACTTAAAAAATCAGGATAAAATATGTTAGAGTATCTTATGGGCTACAAACATGATTTTTTTTTAAAGAAAACCTCACATTAATAAAACAATTTGTGTAAAATCCTGAGAAATGAATGTATAAAGCTGCTACAAATAATACAAGCTGAGTAAAATCATTTAAAATACCCTGTAGTAATGCAAATGTTTAGGGAACATACCCCATAGCTGCAACTGCATTTAAAAGGCAAGTCTCAGGTTTGATTCCCATCCTGCCTGACCTTCACCTCATGTCAAGCCCCTTCACTCTCTCTTCATATGTCCTGACTCTTTGTAGTCTATCAAACAAAAGTGAAAAAAACTTTAAAACATACAAAAAATATGCTAAACTCCATGCTGAGAAAACTGTTGGTATGTTTATAGAAGATCAGTGCCAGAGTCACACCAGGAAAGGAAATTCCACTGGTCTGATTTTTACAGTATTTTCTTGTTCATGCCAGTTAGAAGGTACGTAAACACTACACACACAGAGCTTTCTGTATCTTCACAACTCCCGGGGGTATTTAAATTATGGAGGACCGAAGCTGATGAAGACAGAGAGAGATGGTTCAGAGTGTGCTTCAGTTAACAGCTGGAATAGACTTCCACTGAGAAGCTCCCTATGAAGTTATGTAACAGCAGTAAGAGCAGAGGCACGACTTAAAAACACACTCAAACAGGAGTTCGGCAGGTCAGAGGGTAGTCTACAGTCAAATATTCACACAAGCTCTTCTTGACGTCGCTTTGTTACGTAACATTCGTTCTGTTTTGGCGTCTCCAGTGAGCTGTGATGAAAGTAACGAGCTGACAGTTGAGATTGACAGCTGTCAAAATACATGGACACACACATCCATCAGTTATTTTCCCTTTTCAATCATTTGTTTGTGGTTCTGTCCAGACTGACTCCCAGTAAATACAACAGTAGGATCGGCATCAGTTGGTGGATCAAAATAAAACTACAAGCAGCCGGCAGTGATGAAGGTCAAAGTTCAGAACATCTTCTTTGTGAGCTGCAAAATATTTGTGCAAGCTCAAAGAGAGAAGAAGGAAAATCCAGGTCTCCATACTAATAAATATTCATTAAGCCATTTAAAGTATGAGATGAATACTTAGCAAAATTGGACAAACGGATCAATATCCCTGTCATATCTGTCTGTTAGATTTGAGCTACAGCCAGCAGCTTAATACTGGAAACACTAAAATGCACTAATTAGCAAGCTTTAGAGCTGGAGGAGGTAGATTGTAGAACCTTGAACAAAACCAGAATAACTTTCAGTCTTTGTGCTCAACTAAGATAATCTGCTGGCAGTAGCTTCAGATTTTGTATATAGACATGAGAATCACCCTTTACATGTAACTCTCAGCAGGAAAGCCAACATATCATCTATATACCAAAACTGTATGCATACCTAATACTGTTTTCATGATGTTTTTCTTCATAATGATATGGAGCCACCCAGGGATCATGTGCTAGAAAAAATGTTAGGTAGGAATTATTGAAAGCTAATTGATTAGCAAACTGAGAGCATTAATTGACAAATATGCAAATAAACTCAAAAGTTTGAGAATAACGAGGTGGCCATGTCCCCTATGCTTCACATGTGTAGCAGCTGGTAGATTGCCTCCTTGTTGTTTACATCCAGCAGGTCTAAAGTCTGGAAGCTGGATCCTGATCACATTTAGACAACTACAGCCAACTCTGTTTTATAAGAATTGCTAGAATTAAAAATACGTTTAATAGCATTTACACTCAAATCTAAGAAATATAAAACTTTAAGTTGCTAAAATAGCTTCCACACTCCGCCCATAAAATAGCACAAACATCCCAGCTAACCCTGACATGTGCACCTCTTTCTCAGAATCAGTCATGCGTGCTGAACTTGTAATGCTGATATGTTTGACAAGCACCCGAAGGCAGCATAATGATAATTTGTGAAGTAGACGTGTGGGAACACAGCACAGTCTGTCAGCTCAGAGTTTAAAAGGTTGGATGCAGTAAAGAAAGTCGACGGGAGCAGAAGGATAATTCCACGAGATGTGACAGACTTGGCTTGTCCAACGCACTTCAGGCTGTGATGATATACTGCGTGACCTTTTTGTACTGATGTTGCCGGACTTTCGGCCACCATGCCCACAGGAAGGGTTATAATATTTGTTTACAGGGTTTCCTTAGAGACTAAGATTGGAAATTTGATTACTGATTGTGGCCCAGGAATGAAGCTCATGTCTTGCTTATCAACAGAGTGACATGCTTGCCTTTTGGCGAGAGCTATTCCAGGATCTACAGCATTTTTCTGTCTGTCAGGCTGTTTGTCTGTCAGGCAGTTGGTTTTTAGTTGGGATACTCCTGTTATGCCCCTTAAAGAAATCCCTCCAAAGTGCAGGCAGTTGAAGGATTTTATATTTTAGAACATGATTCATCTCATTCCCTGTCTCCTCTCTGCTCTGTGTAAACACTGCCTGCAGTTCAGCCCACCCAAAACAAACTCACATGACTTTTCTCACAATTTTTTTCAGTTTATTTACAAAACTGTTCATTTTTCAAGTGTTTTCAATGAAGTATCACAATTTTAAGCTTCGATTTGGTTTTCAAACCAAACCGCAGCGGGTTTCGGGTTTCATAGAGTTAACATGCTGGGAAGCTCAATCTCTCACTTACCTTCCAAATGTCCAAATGTGCAGGAAGCAGATGTTGTCCAGCAATAGCAAAAATTCACGTGTCAGCACCTGTAAAGATGTGGTCATCATTATTTTCAGCAAGTGAAACATATTTTCACTTTGCAGCTACAGTTTGCTTCAGAGGATTTGTGTTAATTTGTCAAACAGTCAGTGTACTTCATGTACAGTGCTGAACACCTTTATGAGACCGCCTGTCTAATTTGTGAAGCACTGTGGATATATATATAGACCATCCAGCATCATGAAGTGCTTTAATGTGCACTGAGCTCTCAGGAACAGGAATGAGGAATTTCAAACTGAGCTCACTGGGCTTCTCTGAGAAGGCGTAAGGTAATCAAGCATAACTTTCAACTGCAAAAACTACTTTTTCTTTTAAGGAATGCAAGTAAATAACTATAATTTGACATCTTATTCAAGAAAGAGTTTTTTTGTAGAACAGTAAATTTGAAAATGAATGGGTAATAATAATACAGTCGTGACTTGATAATCCGACCCTTAACAATCCAAAACTTTACTATCCGACAGGTTTTTAGGAAAAACGAACAGAACCCATTAAAAATAACCTTAACACACTGACAGCCTTGGATTCAGACTCCGACATGACATTTTATGTCACAAATAAGGATAACAGTGTATTATCTGACTTAATAATCCAACAGATTTACTTACCCTTGCTGTCAAGTGACGGGCCGTGCACAAGCGCACCGGTCAGTTAGACGTGAAATCCAGTGATGCGTAGTGTTCTAACAATACACTGGTTAATATAACAACTATAAACAATAAATATTATCAACAAATGAGCCTTCCAGCATCAAGCCCTCCTTGTATCTCGACCTCCGTCTTGACAATCCGACAGCCTTGCTATCCGACATAAAAGATTTTACATTTAGTGTCGGATTATCGAGTCACGACTGTAACTATATTTTAGCATTAAAAATAGAATTTCGGTTAAAGAGCTTCCACATATTGATGTATTATCAATACAGAAACATAAGACATGATTTTGGTAACTACCAGTGCTGGTGATTTGGGGCAGCTGTGGCATAAGCCTTAGCTTGGCTGGTGATCTCATAAATGTATAAGCGCTGCACAGAAGATGCTCTGGCTCAGCCTTTGACTGATCTCAAAACTCACCAGAAACCCTGAAACATTTCCACCTCACACAGAAATGCCATTACTGCTCAGCTTAGGTTTAAAGAACTTCTTCACACCTAATTTTTTTCATCATTACATAACTTTGTAGAATCCTTGATGTCCTCTTACATTTATTAATACACATCTCTCCATAATTGTGCCTGACGGTTGGTATTTTTTAAAAATGTCTCCACCTTGACATAAATGTTAAATACAGTTCTGTTGGTTTAGACAAACCTGTGTCACATGGATTTTAAATAAAGAATGCACTACAAAGAGCTGACGAAGATAAGAGGTGATATTCAGTGTTGCTCCACGTTTGTACCTGAAGACTTGTGATGCCGCTGTAGAGCATCTGATTTCCATAGCAGCAGAAATTTTGACAGTTGTTTTGTTGTGTCTCAGAGCCCTTCATGAGGAATGGCCGCCCCCCCACCTCCCACAGCATGCACTCCTTTCTGCACCAGTACACCGGGTCCTTCAAGAAGCCGCCTCTGCGTCGGCCACACAGCGTCATCGGCGGCACCCTGGGGTCCTTCATGGCCATGCCGCGCAACGGCAGCCGCCTGGGTGAGACGCACACGTGTTCACAAGCACAACACATGCACACATGGAAGGAAGTGAGTAGTAGGAGAGCAGATGGCATCTGGGAACAAACAGGAAAAGTGTCATGATCCTGAGATTTCCGTCGTTCTTCCTCACATTTGCAAACCCACTCTTGCCAGAGCGACTGGGCGTCGTTCCCAAGAGCAGACTTCTCTCTTCATCCTCAAAGGGGCTGTTTTTTTTTGTTTTTTTTTAAACCAAAGTGACAGCTGGATGGAGGGCTCAGTCAAACGTGACGCTGCTTCCTGTGTGAACTGATTCATCACAGGCGATACGTAGCAGCGAGTCCCATCCTGAGGGTTGGAAGGCAGAGCATGTCGAGATGATTCAAAGCAGCAGCAGATTTCGAGCTCGGGGTTGGGAAAGCCCAGGGGGTGATGAGATGATTCATGGAACACAGAAACTAAGTGTTATGGGTATCACAGTGTACCTGCTACTAGGCTATTTTGAATATTCAGTGAAGCAGTATAGTAGTAGTAGTAAAGTGAAGGAGATGAGATCTGGAGCACATGATAAGCATTCAGTACGGAGCGCTGCAGCGGCAAACACTTAAACTAACAGCCATCTTGTTTTCTTTATCCTAACACAGGTTTTTCTGCATGAATTCTCTTGTGTTTTGTCATCAGAACTTCTTTATTTGCCGTTTATAGGTTGTTGTGGGTTCACTCTGTAATCCCAGTGTCTCAATTCTGATCATTTTCTTTGCATCATGTAAACTGAGTGTCTTAGAGATGTATGAAGAGGTCACTTTTGAATTTAGGAAAAAACTGCTCAACATTTTTAAAGAGTTTTCTGTACAAGACAAACGATTCATTGGTTAATAGAGACAATAACTGGGTCGTTTCTACATTGAGTCACCAGATGTAGACTTTTGGCAAATGTCTGACATTTCCGCACATTTTATAGGACTCTCTCCTGCCCTTATGCTATCCCTGTAATCACATGCTACAGGAAACAACCTCCACAACCAAAATTTCTAATTTTTTTGAGACGTGCATGTGAAAGGAAGCCCTGCTGTTTTTTTTTTTTCGTTTTGTTTTCTGTAAATCCGTCATTTTAATAGCTGCTCTTCTCCTTGTATTCAAATGCTCCACAACGACAATTTTGAGAATACATTTATTTTGTATAGCGCTTTTCAAGATACCTGAAGTCGCTGAACAGGGTATAAGATAAAAACAGGAACAAAACAAGTTGAATAAAAAGCAAGGTATAGAAGGCAGGTAAAAAAAAAACAAAAGAAAGAAAGAAAGAAGTAAAACAGTTAAACATTAAAAGCGATCTTGAAAAGGTGAGTTTTTAAAAGGGACTTGAATGTGTGGAGGTCAGAGCAGTGTTGGATGTGAGATTGAATGGAGTTCCAGAGGGTGGGAGCAGCAGGTTCGGTGCTTGGTCCTTGGTGGTGGGGCGAGGAGGTGAACAGAGGAGGAAGGAACGAAGGGGAAGGGGTGTGGGGCTGGAGCAGGTCTGTGAGGTAGGAGGGGACCAGATGATGGAGGGCTTTGTGGGTGAGGAGGAGGATCTTGAAGGAGCCAGTGGAGATGTTGGAGGACGGGGGTGATGTGATCACGTGAGCGGATGTGGGTGAGGAGACGGGTGGCAGAGTATGATCCATAGAGGATGAAACCTCTTGACTTTGGTTGTTACTTGACTTTCATCCAGCAGCAGGAGTTTCATTGGTTAAGATTTTGGTTATCCAGGGAAATATTTTTTTTTTTTACAGATGTCCATGGTTTCCAAGGGATGAATTCTGACATCACTTTGTTCCCCCATGACTTTTTTTTTAAATCTAAGTTTATCATTAGAGTAAACTGAACTCAACAACTATTGCATGGGTTTCCACATCTCCAGACTTTCTATGAGGCACCATCATCAGGTTAAAATTTTAATTTCTCCAGAACTCCAATTCCAAACACCAAAACAAACACGTTACCACACTAGTATGCTAAATTAAGACAGTGAACATTTTAAGTATTACCTGTTTAAATCAGGGTTTTAGTTTTGTCGTGGTGAACATTTGAGCACACTGGCATTAGCATTTAGCTCAAAACCTGTTAGCATGGCTGTTAGTCCTTTTAATCATTTAAAAAATGAGTTGTTCTCAGCCTGTTTAATTTATTTCATAGCCCGTGCGGTCACTTCCCTGCGCCGCACAGATGTTGCCTTAAATGTTAAGCAAACATTGTTTAACAGATCTTTTCCACTTGGCCAGGTAGCAATAACTCGCAACTGTGCAAACAATCTGCTCCACACAATGTGAGCAGTTTTACAGTTGGGGATTTCTGCCGGTGCTTCTCTAAGCTAGATTTCGTAGGGAGTGGAACACCAGAGGACCTGTTGAGCCTCGCAGTGGACCCTGGCCTACATAGAAGGACTTGGTTCTAAAAACAGGACAGTTAAGTAGGACGTTGATGTGCCACATAATGCTGCTACGCTCTGTGGGCTTATTAGCAAAGCTGCAAACAACGATAGAGAGACGGGAGACAAAAAGTGCAGTTAATGCAACGGAAAGACAGAGATGGATCACAGTTTCACACACACAGAGAAAAAAACACGTATCTGTAGAGGGAGGGAAGTGAAGGAAGGATGTGTGGAGAAGTTTGCGAAAGAGACCTCAAAAATGGGTGGAGAATGAACTCATTTAAGGTTTTTGGAGAAAGGAAGAGGTGAGGCAAGCAGAGATAAAAACGTGTGAACGCAGAAGGAAAACAATGTGGGAGGAAGATTAGAAATCAGCTTTGGGGGCTTTTGAAAAGAAAGAATTGGGTTTGGATGGTGGGAGGTGAAGGGAGGAAGTGAAAATACTATTGAGAGAGGGAGAATTTGGGGAGTTTTTTTTTTTTTTTGGCGAGGATGAGGGAAGATATAAAATAGCAGGAGATAATGGAGAGGTATGTAAAAGTGAAAGGAGGATGAAAGGCAACGAAAGTAGGACAGATTAGATGATTCGGAGGCTTTGGAGAAGAGGCAGACAAGGTAGAGAAGCGCAGGTTGCGGAGGAATGCGTTGAAGCATTAGAGAGGGGGAGTCAGATGAGCCGCTGCCTACGAAAACCTCGCAAAAGAAAGAGAAAACAAGACGCAAGAAGAAGAGGATTATGTAGACAAAAAGGAAGAAGTGGGAAGTGAAAGACATGGGTGAGGTTTGTGAAGAAGAGTCATGTAAATAAGTGACAGAGAAGTGAGAAAAAAAAAGGAAGAGAGCTCATTTGGAAGTTTTTGACGTAGAGACAAGTTGAAGACAGAAAGTGGGGCAGGAATGAGTTGTTTGTGAGGTGTTTGTGTGGAGACAGTAAGTAGGTTAGGAGGAGGAAAGTGTGGCAGTCGGAGGGACGACAAATAGGGAGAAGAAGAACTTTCTGGAATAAAGAAATAATAGCATGGCTTTTACCTCTTGGGGTCTAATGTTCTACATGTTCTACTATTATGTTTAGAAAGTTCAATACAAATCAATCAATCAATAAATAAATATACCCTTTTCTACACACTCGATTATATACTGATCGAACCCCAAATAGTTTGTATGAACTTTGAGTGGTGGTCTGTTTGACGACACTCGTGTTTTCTTATGTTAACAGCAAGTGTGCTTAAATACTTCATGTAACAGAACTGTGGTCGCAAATATTTGTCAGAAACACAGCTGAAGAGTAATTTGCATGTCTGTTTACAGAGCAGCCAAACAGATGTTACCTACTTGAGGATTTTTGTCAACAGCTCACTGTGACTGTTCCTGACTTCATTAAGTCCCATCAGTGTTTAAAACTGATCCACTATCAAAAAATAGACCAATTTTAAAAGATAAATTTAAGGACTGTTTAATTTATTCTTACCAAAATTACCATTTGCTTGTTTTGAACAACGCATTTTTGTGAAGCGAACAATTGGGGTCAACACTAACCGCGGTGACAAGTAAATCCCATTTCATGTGATTATGTCATAATAAACAACATGTTAAGCACGTAAATGGTTCTAATGGGAAGCAGCGGCAGTACAAATTGTTAGGCTGGCATGAACAGGAAATGGACGCAGCAAAAAGAGAGTGAAGAGGTAACATTGAAGCTCATATCAACCCCCTCCCTAGAGCTCGTTTTTGTCCGCAATATAAAGTCCTGCATCTCTATGGAAACAGCGAGCGAAGGACCAAAGTAACTCAACTCAGGTTAAATTACTTTGGTCTTTGGATTATTTATTTCACAAAAAATAGCAAAAGCCAAAACATTTTTGTGCCGACAGTGTTGCCAATACTGGAAAACATTCTCTAGAGATATTTTAATCGTACATTTCATATTCATTTGCACTCGTCTCTTATCTGTAAGCACAGCCTGCAGTTCAGCTGAATTTTTGTCACTTGACTGTTGGTCACAGCTGAGTCATTCACGGCTTCACAGTTGGGATGAAAAACACAGATTTCTTTTTGTTTTTTATTGAATCTGATCAATACAAACTGCTTATGTGGGGCAGATTTTTAAATGTGTCTTAAAATGAAGGGATTATGATGAAATATCACAATTTTAGGCTTGAGTTAGTTGAGTTTTCCAACAGAGCTGCACTTCACACATGATTAGTTCAAGGACCGTTGGAGAGGTGAAAATCCAAGAGTTCTTTGTGTTTTTACAATGTTTGGCTCTGATAAATGGTGTAATTTAGGAGATCTTCTAAAAGACAACGTGCCTTTTAAACCCATGAAGAAGTTCTGGGGTTCACAGTAACACTAGATTACATACATGTCTTGTGCAGTTGTTCAGCAAATATAAACTAATAGAATAAAATCAACTGTATTCATTATATACATATGTAATGAATATAGTTGTATACTTACTCTGAAAGAATTAATTCCCTTGTTTCCTATAAATTATGGCCATACAGCTGACGGTAGATTTGGGGTTTGTGTGTCTTTAATTGAGGCCAGCTCTCCTGTGTATCTGCAGGAGTTTTGCTAACAGGCTTTGTGAGGAGTCAACTAATTTATTATTTTGTTTCTATACATAGATGTGAGCATATACACAGCTTATGCACAACACTGTGTGTGCTTGTGATTGATAAATTAAGCAGCTGGAGAACACTGGTGTCGAGGCAAAGGACAGACGAATAGTTGCAGAAAGAGGGCAGGAAAGAAGAAAAGCCATCCATCTCCTCCTCCAGATGGAAACCTTGTGACAATTTCTCATTTTTCTTCTCTTTTCCTCCCGTCTTTCTCTTCTCGGTCAACAAAAACCTCTTTCATACATTTTCTCCCTTCTCTTCATTCTGGCTTCCTCCTTTTGAGCAGTTAATTGCAGATAAACTGAAGACTTAATCACTGCTGTGAAGTTATTCTACTGATGTCCAGATGGAGAAGCAGCAGTGAAACCTCACATCAGCGATGTGTGGGGGAAAAACATAAGCTTGAGTGGATCAGAACAGGCTAACCCCTTTTTAGTTTCTAAAAGTGAATCGACATTTTTTATAATCTGGGGAGATTTGGTTTGTACCCAGATGATCACAGACAGATTCACATCGTTTGTAAGCCTTTGGGTTTTGGCTGCACCACAAAGAAATAAAGTCCCGCTCGAATGAAGGGAAGTTCATTAATATGGTGAATAAATAAAGAGCTCTGTTAGGAGCAGCAATTTGTTCTGAAAATCTGAACTAACAACTGTGATGAATCATCTTTGGTTTAATATTTAAAGAAATAATCAGGATTATCATGTTTGAACTGTTTAATCTCCATCAACCGAAACCGTGCAGAGATTTGTCTCTCCTCCCGTTTCGCATTTGATGACAGGCTGCATGGTTGGAGGCGCTGGCACAGTGATGACAGAGAACAGCTCAGCCCTGGCTACTCATTAACCGTGTGTGCATTAGTGCGTGTGTGTGGAGGAGAGGGTGGGCGTGTGGTCCGTACATCAGCTCCTACTGTGCTATGGTGGAGGTGGAGGTGGTGGTGGAGGTGGTGGTAGGTTTACTGCCCTGGAGGAAGAGGTGCAGGTTGCTGTGTTTAATCTTTGGCCTTTGAGGTTACCAGGGTCTGAGAGGAGACGGGGAAACAGTGGGCTCTGTGTTGAAGTGAAGATGCTGATTTAACGAAGTCTGCATAATGAGTTTCCAGACCAGTGGTATTTGTACATTTGTTAAATCTAATAAAGATTATTCTATTTAACACCATCACTCTAAAACCACTGCTTTTACTGTCGGGGCTCTTTTGTCATGTCTGCTTCTAATTTGCAAATAAAAATGTAAAGTTTGCCAAATGACACACACTCTACTGACGATGAACCTCAGAGCAAAACAGAGCTCTTCGTATAAGTCGATGATGTGTTTGTCTGATGAGGACGGCAGTCTGTTTTTATTTTCTTCCGTTTATCCTCTTCTTAATCGTCTTTTTGCTGTCTGAGTAAATCTGGCTAACTGGAGCACGCTCTTGTTTCTTTATTGGTCCCAAATCCATTAGCGCCTACACAGCAAACGTTTTGACTTGGCACTGATAGCATTAAGAATGGTCCTCTGGTCCATTAAATGTGCAGTTTTTGTTACCTGTGTTTGCCCAGTCACAATACGTGCTGTGGAAAAGGTCTGATCTCAGTCCAAACAAGTGTTCCTTCTGTCCACACTAACACACCTGAAAACGCATATCACATGACCATTCATAGTAAATAGAGGGCTGGTTGCTTAGTGGTAGATTCACAGGGGTGTGATGAATCAGGGAACACATTGACTGATAAGACCCAATCAGGAGGTTAGCGTGAGTGTGTGTCGTTTCCCAAAGTTTCCGTTTGTCCCTCTCTGCACATCAACCCTGCTAATGGAGTTTCTGAAAATCGACACTCTAAAGGGAGCTTTCCAAAGTTTTCGGCGACCAAAAACTGCATTTGTGTGTGAGCTGAAGGGTGAAACCCGTACAAAAAAACTCCCAGGCCCTAGTTCCATGCAGCATTATTGCTGTAGTCATGTCCTGCCCCCTGCAGTGACTCTGCCCCCAGTGTGGGAACCACTGACTTAATGGAGCAATAAAGAAACAACAGAATGCCGCTCTACAGTTGTGACATCTGCTCCTTTCACGTTACACTTCCCAGAGTCAACCAATACAATGCTGATCAAGTTCAAACACTGAAACAGTCGCGTCAGTTATCCCACAAAATACCAAACATTCTTCTGGGTGCAGCTTCTAAGGATTTATTGTTGTTGTTGTTCTCTGTGTTGTATGATTGTAGATTGAATATCTTTGGCACTTACAATAAAAAGAATCCGTTTTAAGACCACAGATCACCGAAGGCTTTCAAAGATAGATGTGCCACTCTACAAAAGGAGGAGAAGGTTGAATGTTTTATCTCTTATAACTATAATTGGAAGTGTATTCAGTAGGGATGTGTACGCTGTTAGTTACTTGACTGTTGTTTTCATTTTTACTTGTAAACCTTTGACCTTCATGGGTCAAACCGATGGGGAAATAATCAACACATGAATCTTTAATGAAAGTTATCCGTAGCTGTAGCCTTAATCAGGTCTGCAGACAGCAGGCTATCCATCATTAGATGGACCGGATCACATCGGAATTCTAATGAGGCAACAACTTGACTTATTGAATTCCTCTTTGTACCTTGTTGTAGTAACAAGTGCTTCTACATTAATTTTTAAAATCTTTTTTTATTTTTTTTATTTTACAGACATTGTGCACGAGAACCTGAAGATGGGTTCTGACGGGGAGAGCGACCAGGCATCGGGGACGTCTTCAGACGAGGTTCAGTCTCCAACCGGCGTGTGTCTGAGGAACAGAGTCCACCGACGGATCTCCATGGAGGTGAGATGCTCGCACACTCCAACACACGTGCGCACAAAAATGGCTTACGCTGCAAGCTGTAGCTCTTCGCCTCTTTGGCCTGCTCTGAGCTGGGAGGGGGGTTGGGGGCGTATTGTTCGTCTCCTGATGGGCTCACGGTGTCTGGGCGTCATATACTGATAGCGGCGCTCCCTGAGGACCAGAGCAGGAGCCGGTAAAGACACATGATAATCTGTGCTAGAGCTACACTGGTTTTATTCATGACAACAGTCTCAGCTCAAGAACACGCTGGGATAAGAGTCTCCTTTGTTCCTTCTGTAAAGATGAACATAATAACGTTACACTGTTTCAGATCATGCGGGCATGTACACAACAGCATGACATCAAGATGTTCATACAACTCAAGAGAATTTCAAACTAATTATTAGTTATTTTTTACTTTCCAGAGCTGCCCTCCTTTAAAAGAAATGTAAAATATAAATGAAGCATCAGTGTTGAGAATTTGTGTAGAAATGGGGCAACAGTCATTCAGGAGGCTCTTGTCAGTAGTTTCCATGTTTTTTCATACTTCCAGTCTGCCTTAGTCGGATCAGTTTTTTTCTAACCATGAACTGTTATGTTTTTTAATAACCAGAAACATTAAATACTCGCTAGATCAAAAATGATAAATGGCTTAAGTTGCCCAGAGGCTGCACTAGACTCTGGCTTATGCAAACTCAGCAAATACTGAATGAACAAAATGCATGAACAAAGACCTCATGATTATCAGGAGATTTTTTTAGTTCCTACTTGTTTCTGATTTCACTGTTTTTTTCTATGAATTTGAAGACTTTTGCTCTCAACAACATTTAATGTCTCAGTCTGCTGCTGTGTTGGTGATAATTCTAGTAGAGTGGAGCTGATCTAAATCTAAATAATGCTAAATGTTGACATGTGAGTCTACCCTGCATTACATGAACACCTTATCATTCTGATATTTAGACATTTTATTCTTAAAGGAAGCAGCGTCTCAGGCTGGAGGCCTCCTGCCCCCTGCTGGCACATGAGCATAGGTGGCAAAACAAAAAAACACCTTGACAGCATCTTTGAGTGACACTACCTCACACATGTTCATGCTGACCTGTTTTTCACTCATGTTGAGTGTTCATTTCAGTTGTGCACGAATCAGGAGGAGTTCAAGGATGTGGTCACAGTCAGTTGGCCTCGTCGACACGTAAGTTCTGTTACGTGAGCATCAGCCTGCTGCTCCTGCGGTTCCTTTTCATGCTGCAAGAGCTTTTAATGAAGCTGTGTTACGACAGCAAGGAGGTTAAGAGCACAGTGTGCCCTAGCTTACTGACTCCTATACAGACCCACAACCTTTGGGTTTTTCAGTCATGTGCCAACTCCAAGCTCAAAGTTTGCCCCTAAATATATGTAAAGATTATATTATTAAAAAAGTTTACGGAGCCAAATGAAACACAAAAAACTATTAAATACAACTCTGTAACATTAAACCTCAATTAATAATCATTAAACCATCTCATCTGTGCATGTGAAAGGTACATAGCCTTTATTAAATCTGTATATTCAGCCTTATGGTACTTTTGTATTTCTTATTTTGCTCCTTCCATGCCTCAGTTGTATCTGGTTGCTTTAACGTGTACGTTTCCACAGTGAAGGAAACAAAAACAAAATGGTAAAGCAGGCTGTTTTGTAGCAGGAGCTCATGAAGACCTAGTGTCCAGGAAAGTTATTGAAGTCTTTTTTTCTTCTCTGTGTTATAAAAGTTTGGTTTATGTTGTTTCCAATTCTCACTCTGGCAGTCAGGTCGCTGTTTTAGACCTTCATCCTACTTGATCAGATGAGATGAGAGACGATAGAACTTTATTAAACCTGATGGAGTTAATTGGCGAAAGAAGATGCTGTTAATAATACAAGATGTTTCCAAGTATGTTTTCCTAATATCTGTTTACCACAAGTTCATATTTGCAACATATTTGCTTTGATTTCTATGAGCAGGAAACTCCTGATCTCAGCATCGTTGTGTCTGATCAGCAGTTCAACCCAGTGATCTAAAATTTTAAACAACAGAGGGGTTATGAGAGGGGAATGAGATGAGTGTCTTAGTATGTTGAGGTGTGTCCAGCCTTACCCCGTTGTTTTTAATGTTACGAGTGTGGCTCTCTTCTAAACCTGCTAGATCACCATGGTAACTGATGCTGCACAGCTGAGGAGGTTAATATGTTCAGAGTAAGAAGTGTCTCCCTTATTTCTTTTCCAGGCCGTATTCCCTATGAGTGATACAGATTATGAGCAGAGAGACTACGTTATATCTGCTAGTAATCCCACTGAATGAAGCTGTACAGTATCGCAAACAGTTGCTACAGTAACCTACATGCATTGAGTTGGTGATGAAAAGTCAAGGCACTGGGTGTGCACTGAGTTGTAAAATAAATATATGAATTTACACAGTTGACAGTTTTCTACCAGCATTCTTCTCTTGCCTTATGTGCAGTAACAGCACTTCTTGCCATAGAGGTTTTTAAAGATTCCCCATAGCTCCAGAAAGCTGATAACCATAGAAACCTGTTATCTGTGATTGGACTGTTATCGAACCAGGTATGGCCAAAAAAAAAAAAAGAGGCCTGGCAGTTTCTTCATTGTATAGCGCTCTGGTCTCTACATTCAAGAAGCTGGACACTGAGAATGCTATCTGAATGTTATCTGTTCATAAGTGACTTGAATGATTATCAGAATTTTAGAGCAATAAATCAGTGTTTAGACAAGCCCATTTATTTTACATCAGAATGACAAAGTGCATCAGTCTAAAGGAAATGTAGTAAAAATGTGAAATGCTGAGAGCACAGACAGAATCTGTTGTCACCTGACATGAAAAGATGATTCTTCAGGATTTATACTGATTAAAAAAGGGTCACATTATATAATATTGTGATCATTCTTGTCTTCTGAGACAGATATGTTAGATATAAGCATTTTATTTTAACTCTCAGTCATCATAATACTTCATCTTCTCCGAGCCGACAGAAGCTTCAGCTGTAAGAGACGATGCGTTGATGGTATTTGCAGAGAGGCCAAACTTTAAAGCACCTACGATCACCAAACAAATGTTTTTCACTGTATTTTTAAACTCAACCTCTTTTTGCTCAACATCAGTCGGCATTATGTAAATTCATCGCAGTCACGTGGAGCGTGTTTTATTTTGGTCCCAGAATAGATGTGATGTGACATCGGCGACAATAAGATATGAGGCGAGCAGCGCTGACAGTGACAGCCTGCGGGGTGGACCGAGGGCAGCAGCTGTAAATAATAATGCAGATACTGTACGTGTGTTTTTGGATTTACAGTCTGATTTGTGCTGCTGAGCCGCAGTCACGCTTCGACAGGCCGCCTCTTATTTTTACCCTCCATAAGATGGTGATCGACCTGATCTCTGTCGCCTCTCTCTGGGAGTAGGAGGAGATGAGAACAAGTTATTTTAGACACTGCATGTGTGTGTGTGTGTGGTTTGTGGGGGTGAGTGGGTGGGTGGACTCGGCAGCCTACATTGTCTTGTGGTGCCACAAACTACATATAGACACCAGGCATGTTGTGCTAAATTTTTTCATGATGTGCTCTGATGGGAGCAAAATGCAGACAAGAAAAGCAACTGTAGCTTCACCGCCATAAGCTCATGTGGTTACCGAACATATGTGTCAAAGTTTAATACAGTCGTCCTCAAATACCCCTCCATTAAAGAAAAGGCAAAATTCACAATAGTTGCTCAAATAACTAGAAACTGGGAAAAGTGATAATAAATAATTTTTTAATTTAGTGAAATAAGACTTTGCTTTTGAGTTGTGGTTGAAAAGAATAATTAAAAAAATAAGCAAATAAATTGTCCCGGACAAATCAGAGCACTTTGCTGATGAGCAGTGAAATCAAAATACCTGTCAACAGGTGAAGAAGTCTGATTGAGAGTTACAGAAAGCACCTGATTGCAGTAATTGGCTCAAAAGGTTGTTCGACAAAATAGTAGTTTACTGGTCCCATTATGCTTGTTTTTTATTTTTATTTATTTATTTTTTAATATTTCTGTTGAACCACAATTTAAAAGCAATGTCATGATTTTCATAAATTTTTATTTATTATTACTTTTGTCAATTCTACTTTATTTCAGTGACTGTGGCTGTTTTTTTCCCTTCTTTAATAGGAGGGTATGAATACTTCTGAGGACGACTGTAGGCAACAAGAATTTTGTTTTTGAGATTTTTGCCTCTGAAGTTCTTTTCATGTCCTCCTCCCTAGAAGAAACTCCGCAGCCACTACAGGAATATTGAAATCAAAAGCTGGTTTAAGTTTTTAATATTTCTATAATTCTGTGTGTGTTTCAGGACCTCAACAAGCGTCTGTCGCTGCCCGCTGACATCCGAATCCCCGACGGCTACCTGGAGAAGTTGCAGCTCAGCAGCCCGCCCTTCGACCAGCCGCTCAGCCGACGCTCCCGCCGAGCCTCGCTGGTCAGTTTGTCTGCGTGTTTGTGTCTGTGTCTCTGCCACTTTATTGCTTTGCGGCGCTCGCGGTCCTGCCACCAGACTCCCTCTGCACTGGTTTCCATGGCAACTGGCCCGGTGTGAGCCCAGGATGGATTAATCTGGAGTCACAAGCGCTCACCTCCCACTTTTAGCCCATCAAATTAGATCATAATGCTGTGGCGTGATTATGCAGCTTTGTTGCAGGCTGTCATTGAGATGGAGATTTATGTATAGTTTAAGTTTTTCCAGCTTCGAACCACTTAAAAAAGACTGATGGTGTTTCTGAAAGATCAAATTAAGAAAAGTAGCTCGTCGCGATTTGTCTTGCATCATTGGATCATCTTGAATCATTGATACGATTCAATGTGTTTTTGTTTTTCTTGATTTTCTTCATGTCCTGGAAAATCATAGAAGACCTGATGTCAGCTCCAGGTGTTTCCAGCAGCTGTTATAAAGAGATAGCAGAAAATATTTTGTGCCCTGAAAGTGGTTACCTCCTCAGACGGTGTTCATAATCATTCTCTGAGCTTTGAAACTACACTCAGGAAATAATATGTTATCATGAAGTTGGTGAGTTAACTGCAGGCACCATTTTTAGCCTCTATTTGTTTTCATTTTAGCACATTTGCACCAATGAAAGTACGCCAAATTAGCTATTAGCACTGCCTGTTTGCCCCGAACAGTTAATACTAGAAGACTGTGACGTTGAAGAAAACTTCAAAACAGCTGATTCTTAGAGAAGTTCAGGAATGATTAAGGAATTTTATTTAGTTAGTTTCTCAGTTGATTGCAAAGTCACTGCATCTGAAAGTGTTGGTACATGTGTCTGTGATCAGCTTAGACTGAGCAGTGACTCCAAGATGAAGGTGGAGCGTCGTTTTTTGTCACTAATTATGTCAATTGGGAGTTAAGCTTTTTAAAATACCTTAATAGCCTCACAGTTGAAAATCCTCACATGTGAAACATACTGTGGACTGCGTATGTCAGCTCTCAGTGTCAGTGCCTCTGAAATGAAGAACGGGGGAGTCTGGAGATGTTTTTTGCACCATTATTTAAGACTCCATCATAGAAGTTTTTGCCAACTACAAATGAACCTGAATTGATTTTGTTTAAGTTTGCACCAAGAGGCTTCTAAAAATTTTGGGCACCTTCGCCCTCATGAATGATCTAAAACTCTGAAAAATCTGTTAAAATAGCTTTACACTGGTGTTGCAGGAACAATAACCTTATCTAATTGTTGTAGCCTCATGTATTCTTAATTCTGTGTTTTCTCTCCTCAGTCGGAGATTGGTTTCGGGAAGTTGGAGACGTACATTAAGCTGGACAAGCTGGGAGAGGTAAGAACGGCGTGAGGCCACTATTAACAATAAAATAAGCTTAACTTTATTTCACTGAGTACAAAACAATGTCCTGTTGTGCGTCTAGGGAACGTACGCCACAGTGTTTAAAGGACGCAGTAAGCTGACGGACAACCTGGTGGCGCTGAAGGAGATCCGGTTGGAGCACGAAGAAGGAGCCCCGTGCACCGCCATCAGAGAAGGTAGTGGTTCATTTTACACCACGGCTCAGCTGTGCTGTATTTATTGATCTGTATGGAAATAGGAGGTACTTTGGTTCTACAGCTCATTGATTTTTCTTGTAATGATCACAGATTGGAGCTTCCTCTGCATTCATCACATGTGTCACGTTTAAAGAAGCAGTTAACCAAACCTCTATTTTTAGCATTAACACTGAATGAATGAGTTTTGTTCACATAATAAACCTTTTTTTAAAAATGAAAAAAAAAACAACCTTTGATCAGTTTAATTTGTGGTGCTCAAACATTTAAAAAAACTTCCCTGTCTAGAAATGATATTTTATTGCTGTCTGTGGTTAGCTGTCTGAGTCCAGAGTAATAACACGTGCTTCACCAGTTTGTATCTGTGTTTATGTTCATGTACACGTCTGTTTGTCTTCTTAGTCTCATTACTGAAGGACCTGAAACACGCCAACATCGTGACGTTACACGACATCGTCCACACCGACAAGAGCCTCACGCTCGTCTTCGAGTACCTGGTAACACTCTCCTCACGCTCTCAAAGCATCACGGTCCTTGTTGTACGCACAAAAAGATAAACACTAAGTTTACCATCACATAACAAAGAGCTGGATATGAACATGCATTAGCATTTAGATGATATCAGCTATTTATTAAAGGACAGTTGCAGCGTGATGTGAATTTGTTTTCCATCATAGTTTTTACACATGCACTGAGTTATGTCATGAGTTCAGTTGTTGTTTTTTTCCAACTTTATGATGTTAATTTGGTCAATGAATTCCAAACTGTGAAGAAAACTGACAATTGTGGACATTCAGGAACGCAATAGGAGCAAACACTTGACAACAAGACAAACGCACTAGAAAGTCATCCACAGTTGTATAAAACAGGAATGTCACATGGCTTGTGGCAGAGATCGGTGGGAGAAAAAGAATGAAAAGAGTTACGAAACCTCTAAAAATGTCATTGTGTAAATGCTGCGCAGGTGTACTTGTGTCTGATGTGGCCGTCTGTTCTTGCAGGATAAAGATCTGAAGCAGTACATGGATGACTGTGGAAACATAATGAGCATGCATAATGTGAAGGTGGGGATGACCTTTATCGCTGATGAGCTTTTTATTATTTTTTACCTTGTAATGTCATTTTCCGTCGCTGTGGAAAAG